ATGATCGACGATAAAATTTTACAATAAAACTTGGGATAATTTTTATTGATCTAATTGATATGCGTAAATCAATCTTTTTTAAAAAAATAAAAGTTAGAATTTAATTTTATCAATTATTTAATTAAAATATTTTATGTCCTGTTGATATGAAAGATAAAATTTATTTTTTGTAATTTTTTATACAAATTCTAGTGAAAAAACTGCAATAAATATATCTTTAACATGTATGGATTATAAGTGTTAGATTCATGTAAAAATTAACATGCATAATTTAGATAAATAAAATTTTTAATCTAACTATTAATTTTTCAAAATATTAATTTGAAAATGAGATTTTAGATACTCCTTCGTTTAACTTTAGTAGATCTAACTTTTAATTTAGGGTTCAACTTTTTACATTTAGAATATTATTTAAAACATTTATTTATGTTTTTTTCTTATTTTAAAAATATAATTACAATATATATTAAATAAGAAATATAAAATATTATTTAAGTATACTAATTAATATAAAATATATAAAATTTAATTAATAAATTATTATGTACATTTATTTTATGAAATAAAAAAATTAAATTTATTAAAATTCAACCATAAGTCTTTTAAAAAACATGTTAGAAAGATAATTTACACTAAAATAACCCAGATTAAACGCGTGACCGATCGATCCATAGTTGCACGCAGAAAGTTTCTTGTGGAAATTTGCGACGCTCGCGCGTTTGTTGACGTGGGTCTTGGGCTTCGCTTCCTGATTGGCTGATATTAAAAAAATTGTGGATGACAAAGAGATGGAAAATGAGTAGGAGATAATTATTAAAGAGGTGATATTATAAACATAATTTTTTTATATAATTTTTATATGTTATTAAATGAAAAAATATAATTGATATTATAAATTTTATATGAATTAAAAAAAATTAATTATTTAAATAACATAAAAAAATTATTTGTAAATCATTTTTCATAATGTATTGTTATTACAAAGAAGACTAAGAAATCAGAGATGAACGGCTGAATTTTGCTTAACCTTCCGGTCAAAAGGCGCAAAAGCCGGCCATCTCTTTTGCGCAAGGCAGTTTTGTTTTTTTCGATCCCGACAGCCAGGCGGGGTGTTTTCATGTTTTGGTCTTTTCTCTTCCTCATTAATAATCCAGCTCATTTTTTGTTTTAATTTTTTTGGCCAACGTAGTAATACAGCTCATTAATCAGATAATATTATCTGCAAAGGAGTCTCTGTATTAATCATTATCTGCAAAGAAGTTTCTTTTCTTTTCTTTTCTTTATAAAAATCTAAATCAATATTATCTACTTAATTACCGATAAAAGCTACTTTTAAAGACCTTTAGACCTAATAATTCGATCTCAATTTTTAAATGTTTGGGTGAAAGTAATTAGAGTTTTAAATTTTATTATTGTTGTGAACTCCACAAAAAGTAACTTGATGGTTATGCATCTCATTTGAGAGGGTGAAATGTTCATTCGGTTTGAGAATCGAATCCTCAGTTACTAACCACTAATTCATACCAATTTACTAACCATTACTCTTGTAAAAAAAAATAATAATAAAAGTTGCTTTTGAAAATGGTTATTAAGTTATTATAATTTAAAGTATGTATTTTAAATGTAGGATATAAATGTAATTTAAATACATATTATTTTAAATATACTATTGAATTACACTATAAAAAAATCTATACAGTATTAAATTAAAAAGAAAAAAGAAAAAGAAAAATAAGTCCACAATGAAAGCTGTAAATTAACATGGTGCTTTTTGCATGGAATTCTAAACAAATGATTTATTTTATTAAACCTAACCAAATTAAAGAAATTAATTAAAGTTTTCATATAATAAAGGTAATAGCATAACATATATATA